TAGCTAACTGTTGTATGAAACAGAGATTACAGCTAATTTGTTATAGCAATCTGCGGTTGTATACAAAACTAATATTTTTGAACTTGGCACTAAAGTTCAGAGAGCTCATAAGCCCAGTAATATGAATGAGAGAGTACATTGTAGAATTTGGAACGTATAAATTCACAGTCACTCTTTCTCACGGACTTTTTAAAACTTCTTATATTAGTGGTTTTTAAGCTTCATCTCCTGTTTTAGGTATATCTTATCTCTTTACTTTCCTATAAATGATAAACATAACATAAAGTATAACACAATTTCAAAGTTCAAACACCAACTCTCAGCCGTCAGGGCTGTGAGAGCCAAAATTGACCACTGCGCGGAGTTGGACATGTGCCACGAGGGATCAGAAGTGACCACTGCGCGGAGTTGGACAGTCGGTTTTGACAGATTTCTGACCACTGCGCGGTGTTGGGATAAGCCCGATCAAAACACTGATGTTTTGCCAAAGTGATCACTTTCAATACTGTAGCTTCAATACTGGGACTTTTAATGGGTAAACATTGGGGTTTCCCCATTTTTGACCCCTAAAACATTTTTTTACAATTTTTCGCGATGATTTAGCTCTATTTTTCCTTTGTCAATACATGATATTGACAAAGAATACAACTTTTTCTACAGAAAAGCATGATTTTAAAACATAGTATTGTGTAGAACTTCCTTGATATTCGACTAAAATTTCAAATTTTATATATAGTATAGGTCATTGAATAAATAACTGAAGAATATATTTCCACTCAGAACTTTTATAAGTTATGTAATTTATGCTTTGTGAGGATAAAAGGCAACTAAAGAGTCGATCTTTGTCAGAGTGGTACCATTGACTAGGTATATATAGTCAATGGTGGTATAACCTCCTTCTATAACCTCCTTACATGGGGAGTGTGCTACTGAAGACGAACTATTTTTATTTTATTCCCTATTTAAACTATTTAATCCGAATAAAATTGGTTAATGCGTATTAAAATTTAACTTCAAATCAATAATAGATTTCTCTAATCAACCTCAAAGCATGTAATCTTCATTGACTATGCACAAAAAGTTTACAAAATAGTATTATAATTTTTTTTAACACAATGTAATTTACTGGTAATATGGTGAGTGTAAATCAAACATTTACTTAAACAGATATTTATCTTTAAATTAATGTACCAAAAGTGATTATTTTCGTCTATCTTCATCTGAAAATGTCGAATATTTTATTCTTTAAGTGTGACTTGTGAGATTCCGTCGATTTAAGAGATCAACTTTAAAGTTAGTCGAGTTCTATTACATTGGTTTTAATTATTTGACCTGCATTTGCCAGAGGCAACCAACGAGACAGCACTTAAAACAAAGTACAAGAACATTACATTTCATACATACTGAGTGAACTGCCTCAAGTTGCAGGGTGTTCCGCCATTAAGCACAAAAACAAACACAATACACAAAAAGTTTAGTTGAATAGGTTAACTAATGGGTTTAAATCAAACGAAAATCAAGAATAAAATGTTTGTAATGCTTCGTTCTTGAGATATTTGCAATTTTGTTTCTTTCAGTTTTTAATTTACACCTAAACGATTTAAAAATGTTATTCTTGAATTTCGTTTTATTTTTATCCATCCAACCGATTCCTAAATTGGTTGTACCAACTTACGGGACGTTGTATTATACATTTTCAAGGTTTTAATAGAATTTCATAATGTCAGGTACTACTTTATATATTATGCTATTTTATATGTTAAAAGTTCCTGCAGAAACTGTTTCCTGGCTTACAACATCTCATTAAATACATTAAATACATTAAATAAATGTATTTAATTAAAAGTATTTAAGTAGGTCGTTGTAATACAGAAAACAATTGTTTAACTAGTCCTACTTTAACGATCAAATTGATAATAAATAAAGTATTTATGCTTTTAGAAACACGTCTGATTACTTCTACTCTCTTTTTAGCGAATATCCCTATAGGGAAGAAGCTATTACAGTACTATGTTTTCCGATTTTGATCAAATTTGTCAAGAATTTATATAGCTGAATACACCTGACTGAGCTCGTGTGCCAAACGGGGTGTTACTGGGGGTTAAAGTTTTTCCGTAATTGTTTCTTAAAATCCCTTAAAATATTATTATTACAAAATTTCATTAAACAAATCGTAGAGGGCTCAAAGAAAAAAAAGTATTTAGAAGCGTTGTTGTAGAATTAAATTTTACGGAGAAAATTAATAGAAACTGTGCATTTGAAATGCTTATTTCATTCCAAAGGGTAACTTAGTAATTTTGTAATTTGCTTCTTTATGGATATATATTAATAAAATTTGGAAAATTTATTTATTTCGTACCATAATAAAAAAAAACCTTTTTCCTTCATGTAGCAGCAAACCTGGGCAGCAAACTGCAAAGCAAACTCACAAAATCTAATGTTATTTAACTAGGGAATTGATGTGACAATGTTTTGTGTAAAAGTCTATTTGGCAAAATAGAAATTTGCTATTCTGCAGGTTTGCTGTGGCGGTGTATTTAGTATGATAAGATTGTTTGTAAATAGGCATATAGTTGCTAAATACAACTACAATACTAAGAATCTTTTGAATCAACAACTAATTGGTGATCGTCAGAAATTTCAAACTCATAGGAAAGTGTCTATAAATGAGATATGTCAACAATGTGTTGAACAGGTCAAAATTAAATATTAAAATACTGTATCTTAATTTTATTTTGTATTTCACAATCTTTCTATTTCCTAGTTTTTATTTTACCTAAAGAAAGTGTATTTACTATTGACAGATCATTCAACAGAATGCAGCCTACAATGAGGGAACGCCGGACTAGGGTCGGCTTATTGAATTTCATTTATTCATCGTTCCTTTGACTGCAGAGACGTTGCCATTGGTTAATGCAGGGAGAATACAGCTTTCAGCGCTCCCCGCGGCACAACCAACCATTGTTGAAACAATGGCCAATCACCAAATAACAAGAGCACTAAACGCTCCCACTCGACGGAGCCTCCCTTGCGTTCAAGTTTTCTAAACTACTAAGAATTGTTTAGTGTTTTAACGTTTTCCCGATGTTGTTATAGGTTTTTATTGGGTGTAGGAATTTTGAGGTGTTTTCCCTTAAGTTTAGTTTTACTTTTGTCCCTTTATTTGATTTAAAACTTCCTTTTAAAAATTCTAACTGAATAAAGAATGTTTTGGTACAGTTGATTGCGTTTGTAGCAAAACCCATTGCTTATGGTTTAAAATTCAAATATATCTATAAAAAAAAATACACCACAAAAAAAATACTTGTCGGTGGGGTCCAAATTATGCATTTTATTGCAGGACAAAGATGCCTAAATCTATAATTTCTAAGACAGGAAGGGCAGGCACTTTAACTTATTACACTGTAATTGGCAGCATACTAAGAAAAATGTAAATGTAGTGAAAACAGTTAATCGCTTTATAATCTATGGAATACTACATGGATTGCTTCTATATTTGGTTGTCTTTGTTTTTCATGGTTCGTAGACCATGATTTTTTTTTGTTTACAGAGGCAGTGCCAGTCTGATAAAAAAATCATATCTTAACCTCTCACTGAGAAATGCCCATGCATGCACGTATTCTCACAGAGCAGAGAAAAATAATAATGATAATAAAAATGCTTTAATATCTTATGTTTTAAATTTACTTCACGTAAAATACATCTATGAACAAAATTTTCAGTTCCTAAATAAATAGCAGATGCGAGGCTTGACCAGGTTTGTAAATGGATTTTTTATAGGTTATGATATTTAGTTCTTTTAAGAGGTTGACGGCCTATTTTAACCTTTCATTTGTCCGTCCACAAAGGCTGTGGTCCAGTGCATGGAACGTATCTAGCAAAGCAAGGGTGAGCTGTAAACTGATTAACTCATAAAAAGTAGTGGTAGGTGCCGGTATTAAAACTCACTACGTCGTTACCTTGGGCCCGAAGTGCGTGGCGCGGACTGAGCCACCTACCCATACAGTGGTACAGCGGAAATATTTACAAGCCGGACATGATTTTCCACAATGTTTAACAAATTTATAACATTGCTATGGTCAAAACGACGTCACTAAACTATGTACCTTTATTTTAATAGTCCTATTCATTTTTATTTTCTCCCCCTATACATATTATATAAGAAAGTATTGTTTTCGTCAAAATTTTCACGTTTGAGTTTTGAGGGGATATATTCGTTTTGGGCCCCCCTGAACCCAAAAAAAGTGGTTTTCGAAGTGATGTATGTGTGTGTGTGTGTGTGTGTGCGTGTGTCTGGATGTGTGCAGAGCTACAGATCACACCTGAAGTCCGATTTTGATGGAATTTGGTATTTAGGTACTAATCCATGGTATCTCCAAGCGTTTTTTCATTTTTTTTTTTAATTTTGATTTTTAAGTAGATTTTCCTATAAAACCCATCAAATAACGGATTTACTCAAAAATGACCCGAACGATTTTGATAAAAAATTAGTATGATGTAGCCCTTTAAATTTTGAACAAAATAGTAGCACTCCCATTTCTGTAAAAATTACGGTTCAAAAGTTATTGTAAATTATGTTATTTTTCCATTTAAAAAACCTTTATAAAATACGAGAAAATCGTATTTTTTAAATAAACCGGTTTAGATTGACATTAGTATGTGATAATACTTATACTGTAATTGCAAACAACATAGTGCAACCCCCTATATCTGTAAAAATGATGGTTCAAAAGATATTGTAACTTATGTTATTTTCCCATAAAAACCCAAATGGATTTTTGAAAAAAAAAACGATTCTGATTGAAATCATTCTGTTAAGAGAAAGTATGTGTCAGAATGCTGATACCGTTTATTTTAATTTAGTTACTTATACAAATATCAAATCACGTTTGCTCCGCTCAACTCAACTGGCTTTCACCTCTCTGAAAGCAATCTGCTTTCTGTGATCATATTTAATGGTAGTTTATCCTAGATTATGGTAACGTTGAAACAAACATTAATTAAGTGTTATTATAAGTTTATTTAATTCAACAGGTCAACAGGTTTATTTTTCAGGTCAACAATTAATTTAACTTTAACAGATGATCTCCTCCAATGATACCATGACAGGTAGTAGAAGTAGAATGTCTTGCGAATGTGATCAAATATCCCTACGCTTAAAAATCCCAAACAGAAGAACCTGCGTAATGGAGTGCGTAATGGATGACTTACTTCTGGTGTCTCCCCTGGTAAAAATCATAACGAGTTAATCGGTTAACATTTTAGTCTTTACCTATTCATTAAATTACGTATGTCTTTTGAAGATCGAGGACATTTGCCGATTCAGTGAAAGTTCTTCCTTTGTAAGAGAGCTAGGCTTTGTTTATTATCAATAATGCTCTGGACCTTCAGCTTAGGTATGCACTCTGAGCCTTAAAGCATTGATTTGAACATAAAAGCAATAATAGTCTGAAAAGCAAGATTTGAACCTGATTGCTCTAATCCTTAAACCAGTGCCATCAGTCAGTTGTCATACTAAAAAACACGGCTGGTTAGCATTGACATAAAACCACATTAGGACAGGACGACGTCAGTCGGTCCAGCTAGTATTATTATAAAAGGCAAAGCCCTCACTGACTCATTCCATCTCACTCACTCACTCATCACTAATTCTCCCACTTCCCATTTACCTATGAGGCTGAAATTCGATACACCGATTCTTTGGGCATTAAATAGGAAAACTAAAAAGTTTTTATTCCGATCGGGCTTTCGGGCTCCACCCCAGTGGCTCTGGATAAAGGTTGTTGTCAAACTTATGGGAGAAAGTATGTGTCAGAATGCTGATACCGTTTATTTACTTTCTCCCCCTATACCATAGTATATGGAGAAAGTATTGTTTTCGTCAAAATTTTCGAGTTTGAGTTTTGAGTGGATATATTCGTTTTGGGTCCCCCTGGACCCAAAAAAGTGGTTTTCGAAGTGATGTCTGTGTGTGTGTGTGTGTGTGTGTGTGTGTGTGTGTGTGTGTGTGTGTGTGTGTGTGTGTGTGTGTGTGTGTGTGTGTGTGTGTGTGTCTGTGTGTCTGGATGTGTACAGAGCTAGAGACTACACCTGTGGTCCGATTTTGATGAAATTTGGTATGTAGGTTCTAATCCATGGTATCTCCAGGCGTTTTTTTCATTTTTTTGAAATTTTGATTTTTAATGGGGATTTTCCCATAAAAACCCATAAAAAACCGGAAAAATCGGATTTTCTCAAAAATGGCCCGAACGATTTTGATACAAATTTAGTATGTTGTAGCCCTTTAAATTCTGAACAAAATGGTACAAATCCCATTTCTGTAAAAATTACGGTTTAAAAGTTATGGTAAATTATGTTATTTTCCCATAAAACCCCATAAAAAACGAAAAATAGGATTTTAGACAAAAATCCGGTTTTGATTTAACATAGTACTTATGTTATGGTCCTTACAATTTTGATAGTTTTTCTTTTTTTAGAAATTTTTATTTTTAATGGGGATTTTCCCATAAAACCCCATAAAATAACGGACAAATTGGATTTTCCCAAAAATGGCCCGAACGATTTTGATAAAAATTTAGTATGTTATAGTCCTTTATATTCTGAACAAAATGGTACAAATCCCATTTCTGTATAAATTACGGTTCAAAAGCTATTGTAAATTATGTTATTTTCCCATAAAAACCCCATAAAATAACGGAAAAATCTGATTTTCCCAAAATTGGCTCGAACGATTTTGATAAAAATTTAGTATGTTATAGTCCTTTAAATTCTGAACAAAATTGTACAAATCCCATTTCCTTATATATTTACTCTCACCGCTTACACATGATAAAGGTTGTTGTCAAACTTATGGGAGAAAGTATGTGTCAGAATGCTGATACCGTTTATTTACTTTCTCCCCCTATACCATAGTATATGGAGAAAGTATTGTTTTCGTCAAAATTTTCGAGTTTGAGTTTTGAGTGGATATATTCGTTTTGGGTCCCCCTGGACCCAAAAAAGTGGTTTTCGAAGTGATGTCTGTGTGTGTGTGTGTGTGTGTGTGTGTCTGTGTGTGTGTCTGTGTGTCTGTGTGTCTGGATGTGTACAGAGCTAGAGACTACACCTGTGGTCCGATTTCGATAAAATTTGGTATGTAGGTTCTAATCCATGGTATCTCCAGGCGTTTTTTTCATTTTTTTGAAATTTTTATTTTTAATGAGGATTTTCCCATAAAAAACCATAAAAAAACCGGAAAAATCGGATTTTCTCAAAAATGGCCCGAACGATTTTGATAAAAATTTAGTATGTTATAGTCCTTTATATTCTGAACAAAATGGTACAAATCCCATTTCTGTATAAATTACGGTTCAAAAGCTATTGTAAATTATGTTATTTTCCCATAAAAACCCCATAAAATAACGGAAAAATCTGATTTTCCCAAAATTGGCTCGAACGATTTTGATAAAAATTTAGTATGTTATAGTCCTTTAAATTCTGAACAAAATTGTACAAATCCCATTTCCTTATATATTTACTCTCACCGCTTACACATGATAAAGGTTGTTGTCAAACTTATGGGAGAAAGTATGTGTCAGAATGCTGATACCGTTTATTTACTTTCTCCCCCTATACCATAGTATATGGAGAAAGTATTGTTTTCGTCAAAATTTTCGAGTTTGAGTTTTGAGTGGATATATTCGTTTTGGGTCCCCCTGGACCCAAAAAAGTGGTTTTCGAAGTGATGTCTGTGTGTGTGTGTGTGTGTGTGTGTGTCTGTGTGTGTGTCTGTGTGTCTGTGTGTCTGGATGTGTACAGAGCTAGAGACTACACCTGTGGTCCGATTTCGATAAAATTTGGTATGTAGGTTCTAATCCATGGTATCTCCAGGCGTTTTTTTCATTTTTTTGAAATTTTTATTTTTAATGAGGATTTTCCCATAAAAAACCATAAAAAAACCGGAAAAATCGGATTTTCTCAAAAATGGCCCGAACGATTTTGATAAAATTTTAGTATGTTGTAGCCCTTTAAATTCTGAATAAAATGGTACAAACCCCATATCTGTAAAAATTACGGTTCAAAAGTTATGGTCAAATATGTTATTTTCCCATAAAAACCCCATAAAAAACGAAAAATAGGATTTTAGAAAAAATCTTGTTTTGATTTAACATAGTATGTTATAGTCCTTACAGTTTTTATAGTTTTTTAAATTTCTTTAGAAATTTTTTTAATGGGGATTTTTCTATAAAACCCCATAAAATAACGGACAAATAGGATTTTCCCAAAAATGGCCCGAACGATTTTGATAAAAATTTAGTATGTTATAGTCCTTTATATTCTGAGCAAAATGGTACAAATCCCATTTCTGTAAAAATTACGGTTCAAAAGTTAATGTAAATTATGTCATTTTCCAATAAAACCTCCATAAAATAACAGAAAAATCGGATTTTCCCAAAAATGCCCCAAACGATTTTGATAAAAATTTAGCATGTTATATCCCTTTAAATTCTGAACAAAATTGTACAAATCCCATTTCTGTATATTTACTCTCACCGCTTACACATGATACAGGTTGTTGACAAACTTATGGGAGAAAGTATGTGTCAGATTGCTGATACCGTTTATTTATATTTATGACAACAGCTAATTTGCAACCAAAAGGTGAGTGAGCGTAGCGAACGAACTTCAACCAGGACGTGATTGAGCCATGCGAACGAGCTCACTTATGAAGTTAAACGGGTACAGCTAGTGTGACAATAAGATGGTAGCAAGATGGTAGATGGTTGTTGGTTGTACTATAACCAAAAAGAATAAATATAGACTGACAGCTGTGCTGCGGTTAGCACAAGTTCTGGCGTCCACCGCTAGGATTGTCGTGTATTTACGGTGCACAACACACACAACGGTGCAGCGTCTCTTGGTAGTCCAGTCGTTAAAGATAAATATATAATAGAGGTTCGACAAAATTGTTTCAAAAGGTTTTTCAACGGATTTCAATACTTTTATACCTACAACACAACAAAATCTGACTTGGGGAAGTACCTGATATTAAGGTATTTAAATTAAAGTAATAATTGCTCCCAGAAAATAAAAATAGTTAAAAACATTATTGTTGGATATAAGGTGTGATATATCGTTTTTAATGATTAATACCCCCGCCGCAGCAAACCTGCAGACTTAGCGAATTTCCATTTGCCTGATTGGATTTACAGTAAACTAAAATGTCTCCTTAAAAATATCACATTTATTCCCTATTTAAACAGAATTAGTTTAATGAGTACTTAGGTTTGCTGCAACAGGGAGGGTAAAAAAGTTTTTTTATGTAAAATGTTAAAAAGTACTGTGGTTTAGTACAAAATTAATGTATTTTCCAAATTTGATCAAAATATGTTCATAAACAAGCAAACTACAACAGTTGACTTATTCTCCATAAGAATAACATGGGAATTTAAAATTACAATTTTTTTGAATTTTCTCCGTAACAGTTAGGCGCGTTATAACGCTTCAATATACTAAATTATTAGTTTTTTTAAGCTCTACAAAATGGTTTAAAAAGAAATTGTGAAATTTTGTGTTTTTATGGTCAAAAATGGGAAAAACCTATTTTTACCCCATAAAACCCCCCATAAACACCCGTTCCCATAGTCCGATCATGCTGGTTCGCGAACTCATTCAAGTTTATCCCGCCTTACACCTTCAAACCAAATTTGATCAAAATCGGACAAAAATTACTCAAGTTATCGTGCGGATGGACACATATATATATATATATATATATATATATATATATATCTATATATAGATATATAAAAATTTGAACGAACGGTGTTTTTGGCCTCTGGGGACATCAAAATGAAAAAGTAAATCGGTCCCGGGCTTAGGTCTTACCATGAGACCTACGGTAATAGCTACTTCCCTATAGGGAAATTCGCTAAAACTGTGGGAAAACTAAATCTGCAGCTTAAAATGTGATTAGACTTCATTTGATGCCACAAAATGGCTGCCAAAATACGTTTCATGGAGAAAAAACTAAAGTAAAACTTACCTTTAGATATAGGGTGTAGTATATCGAATTCAATGTTTTCGAGGGTGGCAAAATAAAAAATACCCCCGCCGCAGCAAACCTGCAGACTTAGCGAATTTCCATTTGCCTGATTGGATTTACACTGGAATGTCTCCTTAAAAATATTACATTTATTCCCTAGTTAAATAGGAATAGTTTAACAAGTACTTATGTTTGCTGCAA